GAAGAAAAACAATCTATTTACTCAAAACATATTTAAAGAGTTTTACATACTCGGTAAATTTAAAATCCCATTAATTTCAAAACACTCCTTTACAAGTTTAAAAATAACAGCCCTTGACAGTGCCCTGTAAATCCTTGAACAGTACTCATCTGCGTTCCCTCTAAGCTAACACATGAACAGCCACTCCAATGTTCTGTGTACAATGATCAGTGTCAGTACACCGATCGTGGCATTGACTTATGGTTCTGGAAGATTACAACCTCTGATTTTTTTTAAACCTCTGATAGCTTATTCCTGGAGCTGTGATGCACCTGAGTTTAAACAATTTCATCTTCAAATCCTTTCCACAATTTTCTCCCGATGCTTCTGCTCTGGGACTGTCACTGACTCCTTACTGTAAAGTGATCAAGTTGGCTATTTTCTTCTCTGCTCAGGACCACTGCCGTATATGTGCATCTCAGTGCAATGATTCCACTAAAACAGAAGTCCCTTTCTGTCTTCTTATCGATGTTTTCTTTAGCTTAAAAAACAAAAATAAAGGTACAGTTGACTATCTAGCTAGGTCACAAAATCCTAAAGTAAACAAAAACACATTTGGCTGCCAAAGTACTCCTTCCAAACTGTTTCGTAAGAAATAACCATGGCTACAGAAATAAATTACAAGATTTATTAACTTGAGATTCAAAATCCAAACTTAAAATAAACGATATTAAAAATGTGCATAACTCAGACAGTTTATGTCATTAAGAGGCATACAGGACAATATCACGGGTAATGATAGTGATGGCAGAAATAGTAAATTATTTTGCTTTGGACTTTACCAGGGAGATAGAACAGGTAGACATGATATTGAAAGATGAGATGATGTAAGTGTATTTAAATAAAATAGAACCTAATGAATAAATCAAACAAAGTCTCAAAGAGTATAATACCCCAGTCCAAGTCGATTGCATCCATGCATTTTAACATATCTAGGAAGCATATAGCAAAGATATTTCTACATACATTTAATTTATAACATGAAGGTATAATGTAATTCCTAGATTGAAGAACGGAGGCAGATAATGTCCAGTAAATTATTGACTTCTCTGCTTAAAATCAATAGTAGGAAAGCTAACAAAATCTTTTCTGAAGGAGAAAAGAGAAGAACTCCTAGAAATGTTAGCAGAATAATAAATAACATGGATTTCAGAAGTAAATTCTTGCTTGACAAATCTTATTGAAAAGATAGGTACAGGTTTGATTGGAGCCCTGCTGAACAAGGTTGATGCAGACAGACTTTTTCTTCACCCAGGACCAGCAGGGAGGCCACAACACCAGACCATGACAATCTGGTCCCAGATTGCCATCTAGGTAAGTACAGTCTCAGCCATCTGGAGGAATGCACCGCACTGTAAGTAGAGGGAAAATGCGCTTTTCCACATTGCCAGCGTAACTGCCACTACCTTCTCTGATTTCTCACGCTCCCCCTGTCTCTGCTATTGTACCAAACTCCCACCAAGGCTTATGCTTTACCACTCATACTATTGCCTGCAACATCTTCCCTACTTGTTCCCCTATCCCCCTAACCACTGACAGCATTCACCCTGCGTACACTTTGCTCTGCGTACTCACTTGCTAGCAGTATCTCCTCACCTGCACCAAAAATAACAGCTATGCCACCATCTTTCATCCCACTTAATATGTGCATCTGTCTCATTCCGGGAGGAGAGCAGCCCCCAATAAGGCAGAAATAATCAAGTCAGGTGGTGGGTTGACAGTCATTTGGTTATTCACCCCTTATGTGGAGAGCCTTCTGGCTCTGACCACATTGAGTGGCTGACAGACCATTTCCAAGCCCTGGATTGGTATCGAAGGCTGCACTTGACTTAATGGCCTACCTAACCTCCCCCTACCTCACATCCAGTCCTGAAGAAGAGTAATACCTGAAATGTTGGTTGCTCCTTTCCTCCAGATGCTGCCTTGCTTGCTGTGTTCTTCCGGCCACCTGTTTTCCCACCTTGGATTCCAGCATCAGTTTTTATTTTGTCTCTGCTCTTCACTTACTGTCTAGGACCTGCTGAGCGAAAACTTATCTCTGTTCACCTGACTAGGCCTTACTGACAACCATGACAACTTACTTCCTGTGTCCTTGTGCTAAATGGTAAGGCAAGACAGTAGTAATATGAACATGGTATCTCTTACTGAGGGGGCAAAACGCAAAAAGGTGTTATTACAGTGAGTGAAAGGAGGTGGAGGTACAATCTGGTTGAGTCCATGAACTGGGTGCTTGGAACCCCTGAGCAAAGGTTAACTCCTTGATTTGATTGAAGCCTGCTGAAAATTGACAAATTTCCTGGCTTTGTGTCTGTGCTAAACAACGCAACAAGCCAGCAATGACCTGGTATCTCTAGCTGAGGGACAAAGCACAAAAAGGCAAGGCAATGCACAAGCAGGGATGCTATGAGCATTTGGGGTCGAAGTGAGTGAGCATTATGACCAGAAGGAAAGAGCCCAAAGATGTAGCCTGGTCCAGTCCATGACCAACATGTGTGTGTCCTTGTTACAACATTACAATGATAGTTCTTCGTGCAGCGTTGAAGTGCAGATGCATCCTAAGTGGAATGGAGATGTATCATGAGAGTTTTTAAAGGTGGGCACATGTTAGATGCCAATGTTCATGGATATGGGTGTGTGTGGCTGGTGCTTATGGAGCATGCCCAGTATCCAGTATGGAGGGCCTTTGGACCAAATGGCAAGTTGAAGTCACTAGGCACCCACACTTGTTTTCCATGTTGAGTTTTATCAATGCTTATCTTGTATGGTGAGTTTGATATTCAGATCTTTTTTCTTACGGATGAGGTGAGTTGGCTTGTCAACAAGGCATTTAACAAGGAATAACCTCTTTTAATTAACAAATTACCACTGCCTAGCAAGAAACTCACCACAACTCTTGTCACAAGCACAAAAGAAGAAACAAGAAAGACCTGACATTAAGATCAACCCTGACGGACCTCGTTTGATTCTGCCACAAATCTCACCAGAGCCCACATTGCGCAGACCCTGTAAGATTCAGCCCGTAGTATTTTAAAAAAAGTAATTTTGTGCATATCTCAGGAAATCCTGCCACTCTTTGCTCCTTATACTGTTATAATCCCAGCCAATTTTGGATGAATTGGAGACCCCTCATTACCTTAATAAGTGGAGTCAAGGAATCTACCCTCTCTTTAAGGAGCATATAATTTTGTATTCCTCACTCGGTTCAATCACCCCATGATCTTTGTATGTTTTGATCTGCCTGTACTGCATGCAAGACAAAACTTTTCACTGTACCTAGGTACATGTGGCAATAATAAATCAAATGTGTCTATACCAGCTTGCTTAACATTCTAGTGATTATGTATGATTAAATGTAGTTGTACTTATTGCTATCGTGCAATAAACCTTCTTGTAATCTAAGAATAGTACCTCTTCTGATCTCTGTGGTATTGCATCCTCTACTAGTAATCACTAGATAGTCTCAAGACGAAGCAGGAATAAAAACAAAGTTGCTGGAAAAGCTCAGCAGGTTTTTTTTCCTTTATTCATTCACGGGCTGAGAGCATCGCTGGCTAGGCAGCATTTATTTCCCATCCCTCATTACCTAGAGGGCAGTTCAGAGTCAACCACATTGCAGTGGGTCTGGAGTCACATGTAGGCCAGACCAGGTAAGGATGGCAGTTTCCTTTCCTAAAGGACATTAGTGAACCAGATGGGTTTTTCCAACAATCGACAATGGATTCACGGTCATCAGTACATTCTTAATTCCAGATATTTTGTTGAATTCAAATTCCACCATCTGCCATGGCGGGATTTGAACCCAGGTCCCCAGAATGTTATCTGGATCTCTGGATTAACAGTCCAGCAATAATACCACTAGGCCATCGCCTCCCCTCACAGAGTTAATATTTTGGGTCTGGTGACCCTTCCTCAGAACAGTTCTGAGGAGCGGTCACTGGACCTGAAACGTTAACTCTGCTTTTTTCCTTCACAGATGCTGCCAGACCTGCTGAGCTTTTCCAGCAACTTTGTTTTACTGCATCCACAGTTCTTTCGGTCAAGACAAAGCAGGATTGGCGGCAGTGAACTACCTTGGGAAACCCTTAATTATATGCTAGTAGAGGTTGCAAATACAGAAGCTGTTGGCAGTGGTCATCTGGGAAAATACCGCAGTCAATTCAAGAGAAACAGGTTAGTAAGAAATTCTTCTGTGACCTCAGATAGTTGGATTTGTAGAGATACAAACCAAATTGTTTGTAAGCTTGATTTCCTGTTTCACCCCAAGATGAGTTTTGGACCACGTATAATGCATCATTGAAAACATCTATTTCCACCTCCACAACAGCTCATTATACTACCACCTCACCACTCCCTTGCTGGTGAAGTCCTCACCCATGCCTGTCTTACCTCTAGACTTTACTATTCTAATGCAGCTAACTGACATACTACAGGCTAATGTAAACTTGAGATTTTCCAAAAATCTGCCAGCCATGTCCTATTTCACTGACATACACTGGATTCCAATTAATTAACACTTTGATTTTAAAGTTCTCTTTTTTGTTTCCAAATCCCTAAACAAATTCAGCTTTTGCAATCTCAATAATCTGTACCCCTACAACTCTCTGAATTCTTTCAAATATGGCCCTTTGAGTATCCTTAATTTTAATTGTTCCATTATTGGCTAACCTGCCTTCGTTACCCAAGGCCATAAATTATGAAATAATTACCTGTGCTGCTCCATCTCTTTTCTTTTTCAGACAATCCTTCACACCTGATGCTTTAAACAACCTCATTAATACGTGGCTCAGTGCCAAATTTTGGTAACTGGCCAGAGAAGTGCCTTGTGTTGTTTTACTGTTTTAAGGGAACAATGCAACTACAAATTGTGATACGTTTCAAATTCACCAGGTGAATTAAGGAATTAACCTTTTATGTTTCTTTCTCGGTTGCATTTTATTTTCATTCCTTGACTCACTTGTTACCGTGCTGGAAGCAGTTGTTTGTTTCTTCTCTGTTTGGTCAATTCTTGGCCTGTCAGGATTTCACACCTACCTAATCAGCTCAAATCAGACTACAAATGAAGATGTAAGTATTTTATTTCATTCCTTGCAAAGGTTTTAGTTCAAGCAAAAATCAAGAATGAGCATTAAAATAAACCAGACTATAATGTGATTTTAAAACATTATGAAATAATGTGAAAGAAAACAATTATAGATAAGGAGAACACTTAGCTGACATTGATAACACAAGTCAGATCCTTGAAGTGTTGTCCTGAATGCAGGCTTAAAATATTCTGAAACGAGCATTGTGATAAGGTCTAATGTCTAGCACTGATTTGGACAATTCCAGTTACTACATGTTTATTTCAAAAAATAAAAGGCTGCATCACACTGTACTTTGATCCTGTCTGTTCTGTAACAAAAGGTAGGTACATTGTATAAAGGAGTATGAAAGCATACTAATATAAGGTAGTCAGGTTGAGCTTAAATCACCAAAGATTTTTTCAGCATTTCATTGCATGTAAGTAATGTGAATGCATGAGACTTGATTGGTTACTATGATATATCAATATAAGATATAGTAGAGGGCAGAAAATCTGTTAATATTATATTTTGTCATAATGTTGCTGATGCTGTACTCTCAATGATTAATCAATAAGGCAAGGTCTTGGATAAAATTGAATCTAATGTGAAAATTAGAAGCTTAAAAGTATTTGTTGTAATAAGGTGTGCCACATACTGCTTGAAATTTGCTTTTCAAATTAGCAGCTTTGTCAGGTATGCATATGTTTGCTTCAGCACTTCCTGCTGTAGTTCAAGATAACACAGTGTGGAGCTGGAGGAACACAGCAGGCCAGGCAGCATCAGAGGAACAGGAAAGCTGATGTTTCGGGTCAGGTGAACACCTCCATCCAATGACCCAAAAAAACTTTCCATATCAAACAGATGGTCTACTGCATCCGCTGCTCCTGATGTGGCCTCCTCTACATCAATGAGACCAAGAGGAGGCTTGGAGACCGCTTTGTATAGCACCTGCGCTCTGTTTGCGACAAACGACAACACCTTCCAGTCACGAGCCACTTCAACACCCCCTCCCACTTCCTGGACGACATGTCCATGCTGGGCCTCCTCCAGTGTCACAACGACGCCACCTGGAAGCTGGAGGAGCAGCACCTCGTATTCCGCATTGGGAGCCTACAACCCAATGGTCTCAGTGTGGACTTTACTAGTTTCAAAATCTCCCCACCCCCGGCCTCATCCCATGACCAACCCTCTCTCTCATCCCCACCCCCTTAACCTGACACAACCTGTCTGCCTTCTCTCCCATCTATCTGCCCCCCCACCTCACTGACCAATCCCCACCACTGCCTACCTGCACTCGCCTATCACCATCCCACCTACCTTCCCCAGCCCCACCCCTCTTGTCTATTTATTTCAGAGCACCCTTTCCCCTCCCCCATTTCTGAAGAAGGGTCCCGACCTGAAACATCCGCTTTCCTGCTCCTCTGATGCTGCCTGGCCTGCTGTGTTCCTCCGGCTCCACACTGTGTTAGCTCTAACTCCAGCATCGGCAGTTCTTACTATCTCTGCTGTAGTTCAATATGTTGTTTAAAAGAATTAATGTTAATACTTTATACTCATTGATTCACCTGATATGGTATAAATGTTATAGTTGGCAGCAATTGCTTCAATTTATTAAGTCATTTTGTAGTAGTAAACTTCATGTTTCTACTGAAGACTGAAACTGCAAGGTACATAGGTTAAAACCTTTGAGGCTTCTTTAAGTGTTTTGGTCCAATTTGTTGAAAGTTAAACCCTTTGTTTGAATGAACTATTCTTAATGGTTGGTTTTAATTTTGTCCTTGCAGATTAAAGGATCCTGGTCAAACAAAAGAAGCAAAGACAATTACAATCCATATAGCTATGGAAATATCTTCACAAATTGTTGTGCAGCTCTATGTGGGCCATTGCCACCGAGGTGGGAAATGATTGTGATGGGCAATAAATCACTGTTCAAAGACTTCTTACTATTGTTTCTTTCCCTTTCAATACAATAAGGAATATTAGTTGAATAAAACTTGGGTTTATATAAAGAGTTAATTTTTTTAAATCATCAAATGAATTCAAAATGTGCAGTTATATTGTTATGTTGTCCACATGGTGGACTAGATACAAATAGCATTTACTTAGAGTACAGTTAATTTTTACAAACCTGTATCAGCTTTTTAAAAGAAATCTAATTGTTAATTAGAATTTTTTTTTATGTATGTCAGTGAACTAAAATACTGTGGTTCTACTTTATTGGGATACATCTTCCCATGGGCTGGGGAAAACTGGACTTCCACACTATCCATAGCTCACAAAATGCACACCTAACCCATGCGGATCTTACAAGAAATTTTGTCTTTTTGCGCAAGGGTCAGGTTTGCATGCCACAATCGAGTTCAAGAATATATGGATATAGAGCTGGGCTAGTTAGAAGGCCTTTGTTCTCCAACAATTTAAAGGCTCCCTAGACCTCACTATTCAATCCTTTACCCTCATGTCATGCCATTCCATGATGCATTTCCTGCAGACAGTTTACACCCCTTCGCATCTCCCTATGCCACCTCATTTTCCTTTCCATCCCATCTCATACTTTCTGTGCCACCCAAGGCCATCTTTATGCCTCCATGCCAGTCTATGATCTCCATGTACCTTGCATAGCAACTCACCCAGTATAGTCCTCATGGTAATGGAACTTATTTTAAAATATCATTGGAAAATGCTTAAACCTCTAACAATATAAGGAAACCCTGAATTCAAACGCAAAACCATTGATGTTGGACCAAGAAAAGGAAACAAGGATATAATCCTTTAGGTACCTATTAGGTTTGTGAACAAACAAGCAACCTGTATCAAAGACATCTGTTATTATAGGTTTGTAATGGTTCCATTCATTCTTGAATCACCTGCTGGTCTGAAAGTTTCAAACCCAAACAAGTATTCAAAATAGTTATAGGTTTCATATTAATAGCTTCACTGAAGGAACAGGTTTCCATTTCAAAGCAGAGTCCCTGTCAAACAATAGAAGAGGAGCCGGTGTAGATCATTTTCTTTTGCTTTCAAAAGCAGAGCTTTAACAGCCAGATCTGCCAATCCCGTTAAATCAGAGCACAGAAACATGACAGCAGAATGCCTGTTTTAATGCACCATATTACTTTCTTCATTGGAAAAATACTGTAATGCATGTGAACAATTGTATAGTGTTGATCTTTGTAGGTAATTCATTCAAATGAATGCAGATTATGTTTTTTAGAGATAACAAGGTGTAGAGCTGGATGAACACAGCAGGCCAAGCAGCATCAGAGGAGCAGGAAAGCTGACATTTTGGGCCTAGACCCTTCTTCCATTTCTGAAGAAGGGTCTAGGCACAAAACGTCAGCTTTCCTGCTCCTCTGATACTGCTTGCCCTGCTGTGTTCATCCAGCTGTACACCTTGTTACCTCAGATTCTCCAGCATTTGCAGTTCCTACTATCTATGTTTTTTAGAACTCCTTTACCCTGCCCACAAACATCAATTTGATTAAATTCAGAATGTTTCAACCTGTGAATAGGTCTTTATTATTTTATCTCACTATTTAAGGTTTAATTGAATTTGCACATCATACAATCATGACAGTATTAACATTAAATAATTACTTTTGAAAAAGCACAGCAGATACACTAAAAGAAAGAAAAGGAAATCGCATTAAACTATACCTTGTTAATTCATTCTAACGTTTCAAAAGACTGATCACTTTATTGTTATGTGTATGATATAATCATGAAAAAATCTATTAATCTTATCCATAAGTAACCTTTTTATAGTCAATTACTAACTATATTTTTATTTTTTTTAATAGTTTAATTGATCGAAGAGGAGCGATCCAGTCAGATACACCACAGTCAGTTGCGCCACCAAATGGAATCACCACATATGGGGCCACACAATCTCAGAGCAACATGGTAGGATCCATGCCATAGTGTTGCTCACTGAGATCCTGTCATTGTTTATTTCCGCCATCCTTTTCCATCTGTTTCAGTAGTACATTTCACCAATCCTAGAAAAAACAAGTTTAGTAAGAACAGCCGTCCCAAGCCACTGTGACTAAAGAGGTGTCCTGCACACGAGAAGAGCCTTATTGCTTCACAGAAATGTCAGTTTGACTAAAAAATACTGAAGAATGGAGGATGTGAATGTCATGGAGTCTTTCTAGTCACTCAGAGAATGAAGAAATGTGACCAGATGCCAATCAGTCCAGGCATAAAAAGTATTGAATTTTTTCCAGCATTTAGTTTTAGTACAGTTTGAGGTCAGTTTCAGCTGTGTAAAACTGTTTTGTACATTTAGGAAAAAAGGATGGCCTGCATCTGAGCCTAAATACAATATGAGAGAGAGAGAATATGAAATGCAACTTGCATCTTGAAGAAGGGTCAGAGCTATATTTTAGACAGATCCATAGGCTGCCACTTTTGCACCTGGATACATTTTAGTAGTTGAACTTAATTGTTTTGAGTCTCCATAGTTTATGTTTGGCTTTAAATTACATCGAATTTACATTATATAGCAACACAGAAGCAAACCATTTAGCCTCACTGGTTTGTGTTGGTGTTTACATTCCAAGAAAAACCTTCTGTCCTCCTGATTCACCCAACACTGTGTGCAAATCCTTCTATTTCTTTCTACTGCGCATACTCATCTAACTTCCCCTTTCAGCCACCTATGTGATTCATGTCAACTGCTCGAAGGGGAAGTAATTTCTGCACTGCAACGGCCATTTACTGGATGAAAATTTTTGTTTTTATCGAGATTACTACTGGATTTATTAATGATCTTTTAGGTATTGCTCCACGTTTTGAGCATTCCCATTAATGGAGAAATATCATCTTTACCTCAAAACTGTAAAACCCGTCATAATTTCAAAGATTTCTTTTGAGTCATTCATTAGTGTTCTCCTTACTTCAGTTAACAGCTTCAGCCTGTGTATTTTAGCTCCTAATTATTATAATGTCTCAATTCTAGTGTTAGCATTGTAAATTTTTCGTCTCTGTTTCACTGCCTGTATATCTTTCTTAATACAGAGACCAGAAATGCATAAATTATTCCAAATACAGTCTAACCAAGGCCCTGTAGAAGTTTAATATAACTGATTTTCAGTTCCATCCATCCCTCTAGAAATTAATCCTAGTGCTTTATTAGCATTTTTTATGACTGAACTTGTTTTGATACATTTAATGATTTGTCATTATGTACTTTAATTCTTTTGCTGCACCTCTACACAATTTAAGTTTGTATTTTTTCAAAGTAAATCGCCTCTTTATTCTTGCTATTAAAATGTAGCACCTCACATTTTTCATATTGAAACCAATTTGCCATTTATTGCTAATCTGAGTCTATTCATGTCGCCTTGTATTTTGTTGAAATTTTCTGCACTATTATCTATGCCTCAGTTTGGTGCCATCACAAATTTTGAAAGTGCACTTCTGACTCTAAACCATTTACATACTGTTTAACACCTTCCACTGGTGTGCTTAATTACCTTTGACCCCTACGCTGTTCTGCCTTTTAGCTTGCTCTCCATCTGCTATTTATCCCCTGACTCCATGTGTGCTGAATGTAATAATGAGTTTATTATGAAATAAATATGTCATCAAAGAGCTTTTTGGAAATTCAAGTGTACTGCCATAACCCTTGCATATTGATTCTGTTACTTCAAGTAAATCAATAAGATTGGTCAACTAGCATGACCTTTCCTTTTGATCTCCAAGTTGAAAATTCTTTTTAGATTTTAGCTTGTACATGTTTTTATTATCGTAGAAAGGCACAGTACAGAATGAGGCCGTTTGACCATTCGTGGGTGTTTGGAAAAATGGTGCAATTAGTCCCACTCCCCTGTTTTTCGTCACTAGCCTGCAAGTACTTCTTGTTTCAAGTATGAATTCCCTTTTGACAGTTGCATTGAATCTTTTTCCATCATTTTTGAAGACAGCATGTTCTAGACTTTAAAAACTTGCTGTAATAAAATATCCCATCTGGTTCTTTACCAATCATTTCTGTCAGATGTATTATGACAACATTCATCATTTTTTGCTTTTCTAATTAACACTCTCCCATCTATCTGCCCCGCCAAACTGCCTCCACCCTAAAAGAGAACAGCCCTGTCTTCTCAAGTTTCCCTTGTAACTCTCCATGTTCTTCCTAATATGCCATGCACAGAACTGGACATTTTACACCAGTTGAGGGACTTAACAGTTGATTTATGCAAGTTTACATTTTCTTTTTAATTGCACATCCAGTTAATTTAGAAAAACTTCAAGCCACAGGAAGTATTATAAATTACTCTTAATCTTAAATCTTTTAAATCTGGGTACTGAATTATTAGAAGACTTTGTTAGTTAGCACAATAATTTTGGATATTTGATTTATGTTCTCACCATGTCTGCCCCATTCGAATGAAAATTTTCACCTACCTTATATTTCAGGGATCAAAGACCTTTCAATATGATTGCAAATTTCTTTACAAATTAAGGCTTTGTATGAATTCCATTTCTTCTACATGAGCAGGTCTTTCACAAACGGTCTGCAAAATTACATTGCTGCATTCTTGTTTTTCTACAACTAATGATGTTTAGAACAGTGTTGTTTTATTTCACTTGACATGGTTATTGTCTGTCTTGCAGCATTCTATACAAGGCTATCGCTGAACTCTAATATAAATCTATGTAAGACATTTTCATTTAAAAGGCAAACTTAATCCAGTTCAGTTATCAGGCAGCTATGGAACACTTTTGGAGAATTATCAGTGTCTGGGTAGCAGAAGGAATATTTAGAGGGTAGAGTCCAATTTCAACTTGATCAGTATTTGAGCACTTTTCATGCTGTCAGAAAATCTTAAGTCATTCGTTACATGGGACTCTTTAGTCTCTGAGATGGGAATATCTCTCAGCAGGGAATCTATGTTTAGACCAAAAATCCTTTTGGCTAATTTGAAACAGCATTACCTATAGGGAAATTACCAAGAAAGATTGTCTATCCTACGAACTAAAGGAAAACTGATCAGAGGAAAGTAGAGGTGCAGTTTATTTACTATATGTATATATTTTTGATACAGAATAAATTGTGAATATACTAGGAAGGTAGAAAAATAGAGAAGCTAGTTGTGCAGTGTCATGTTAACATGTAAAAGAGAAATATGTGTTTTGAGTTTTGCATTTTGCAGTGGCTTTAATGACCTCAGCATATCCTAAAGTGCTTTGCAATCAATGAAATACTTTTGATCTATTTTCACTATTGTAATGATGGAAACGTGGCTGTTAATCTGTGCACAAAATGTTCCTACAAACAGCAATGTGCCGAGAACCAGATAATCTGTTTTAGTGGCGATGATTGTAATGAAAAACACCTCACAAGTTTTTGTTGGGTACTTTTTAAAAAAACAAGTTTAAACTGTATTCATTGCTGCATGTGGTAATTTTTATTTTGCTGTGAAAATAGCTTAAAACCAAATTGTCACTTGAATTCCAAAGGAGCTTCTCATTCTTTTGACTATTGATCACTTAATTTAGAGACTAACATACCTCTTAACAATTTTCACCTTGATTTCAAGCTGCTGAATTCATATTTCATGTAGTTTATTTACTTGTGCCACAAATCAGTCTTCCCTTTGAATTTCCCAAACACTTGCAGTTATTTAAATGAAGAGTTAGCAATAACTGGGAGGGGGAGGGTGGGGAGCACTTAAATTGCTATCAACATTATCTTTCCTGAGAAGCCGCCAATGTTAGAGGGAGAGTTTTGGGGCAACTCCATGGAATTTTTGCTCCAGTAAATGAAAAGGGAATTGCAATGTTATGCATTTCTTTGATATGAAAGTTTTGTCTTATCGCATCTGGCTGCTATACAGAAAACAGTATTGCCATTGGTGACGGTATTTCTTTCATAAGCGTGCCATTTGGAATTTGCGTGTCCGTTTGTAAGAACATCTTAACCACGTGTAGATGTTTAGCATTTAGTTTACTGCAATGGCTATAGGAATTGCTTGAAAACTGAATAACTTTCAATTTATTAATACAGTTTGTACCATACAGTACAAACCAATATTAAGCATCAGTGTACATGAATTAACAGTGAAATATATGTAATCATATAAACACCTGACACATGTGCATGTAAGCCTTTGCTTGATGCAAACTATATTGGTTGTCATTGGATATCTGTTGAGGATAAGAAACCTTCTTATGTGATCGAGACAGGCTGCTACATAAAAACAAAGTCTACGTCATTTTCCATCTTTAAGATTTTTTTTACATTCAGGGGGGCAAATTAATGTGGCTAAAATCAAAGTATGTGCTTTTAAGAGCACTCAGTTTTAGTACTGTATTTGATGAGGTTACTGGACCTAATTTCTTCATTATGTATTTTGAGCTGTGTCATTAAATATTTGTAACAATGTACATTTTATGACAATATCCCAAATGCTTGATTTCTAAAGATCATCACATATTTCCCCAAGTATGGCAGAGTGAGTATAAAGCAAAAATGCACTTTTTGCTCCTGACACTTCCCTCTTAAGAAAAACTGACATTATAAGGAGGGATTACAACAAGTAATGAGGATAAAGTATGTATCATAAAATTCTTACAAGTCTTCCCGAAGGGACACAGCAAGACCATTTGTTTCGTAATGTTATCATAAGAGGGCAGCCAGTTAATTATCCTGTCCTGATACACCAGCTTCCAACAAATTTTCAAGCTTAATTTGTCCCGCTAATGATGCCATCGGGTCACTGTTTGGTAAAGTACCTTTTGATTTCCTGAAAAAGTAGGCCAATCAAAAAAAATCTTTAATGAGAAAACCTTGGTTCCAGAAATGGAAATTGGTTCAGATTAGTGTTTAACTTCAGTTTTTAAAAAATGAGTTATAGAGTCGCAGAGATTTACTGCACAGAAAAATGCCCTTCAGCCTGCTGTCCCCACATCAGTCAAAAACAACCATCTAATTATTCTAATCCATTTTCCAGCACTTGGCCCGTAACCTTGTATGCCTTGGTATTGCAAGTGCATGTCTAAATACTTCGTAAATGTTTTGAGGGTTTTTGCCTATACCATCCTTAAAAAAAGGAGCCCAGGTTCCCACTATTCTCTGCTTGAAAAAGTTTTTCCTCACATCTTCTCTAAACTTTAAATGTATGCCCCCTTGTCATTAATGTTTCCATCAAAGGGAGAAGTTGCTACCTGTCTACCCTATCTATGCCACTCATAATTTTATACGTCTCAAATCGTATCCCCTCTCGATGTCCTCTGCTCGAAGGAAAACAACCCCAGTCTGTCTTTGTAATTGAAACATTTTATCAATTCTCCCTTAAGGGACCAGTGTACATGCGCACCAAAGTCCCGCCGATCTTTTGTGCTTCCCAGGGTCCTGCCATTCTTCATGTATTCTCGTGCCTTGTTTGTCTTGCCCACGCATAACACTTCACATTTATCCGAATTGAATACCATTCTTCTGTGAACGCTTAAATATAGGGGTCAGAAATGAAATTGATATGAAACACTGGGAAATAAGAGAAGACCTTCAAATAAAGCATTTTTAAATGTATGTTACTCATGTAGCAATAAGCCTCTTGGTGTAATCACAGAAGCATTATTGCTGTTATGAAAGTCTTTCTGGACCTTGGTGCTTTTGTATTTAAATCATGAGCTTGCTCAAGGAGTTCATAATTTCCTGCAGATACCAATACTGTCAGGGTCAAAACTGTAATTTTTAGATGAAGCTGTTATTTACAGAAATTACAGTATTTTTAAAAATTCGGATGTTTGCACTTCTTTCTTGGGCATATTTTTATGCCATGGTTGGAACTGGAATTTTTTTTCTCTACTACGTATGTTTTCATCCCAGCTGTAGTCTCTGTGCCCTGCATCAATGCTGGAATTGCATTTGGAACTGTCACATGCCAGTTTAAAAGATCCAGTTCTTTCTTTGGTGTAAAGAAACAATGTTGCAAGGAGGGCTTTTGTGGCACAGTGGTAGTGTCCCTACCTCTCAGGTAGGAGGCCCAGGTGAAAGTCCCACCCACTCCAGATGTGAGTCAGAATATCTCTGATAGGTTGATTTTTAAAAAAACTACAGGGAGGTAAGGAATTGTTTCTCAAATTGCCTCCTCCTGTAGTTTTGACATCTGGATTTTGTTTACCTAAGTTTGTTTCGACTGCCTTCAGTGAAGAGTTACATGTTTTTACAATATTCTCAAATAAGTTGTTGGATATTACTACCTATTTTAATAGTATTATGAGCAGGCCATCTAAAGAGATACATACATTGATTGCAAACACAAAGGCAAGTTATCTATCTGTTCTGATGTCTTTTTTGTTTGTAAGTATTTGATTTAACATTGCATTGATAAGTTGACAATATAAATTGAATTCATGCCATTTTTTCAGAACCAAAATTTCCCTGGCCCTGTCATGGAAAGCTGATACTCTGTGATCATAATTGGGATGAGCAATAACCGGCAAGCAAATTAGTACAGATCCCACTATGGCCTATACTTGCAATAAAAAAATCAAAGTTATTATTGCACAGAAGAAGCCCATTGAATTTATTAAGTCCATGCTGGCTCTCTGTTGAGCAATCCAATCAGGACTATTCTTTCAGCTTACCCTGTATCCCTTCAAGCATATTTATTTCAGAGTTCATCCAGTTTTATAATCTTCATCATTTCCACCATCTTCATATTGCCTTGCTAACTACTTTTCAAAATGCCATGTCACTTCCAAAGGTATGTGCACATGAACCTTCAGATTCTTCTGCCCTTGTACAATGTTTAAGATGCTGCCATTCAGTCTATGTTGCCTCTTTCTACCCTTTCTGATGAAATGTATCCCCTTACATTTCTTTGTATTAAATTTCAATTATTACTTGTTTGCTTGTTCTGCTAGCGTACTTGTGTCTGGTGCGGTTGATTGGTTCACTGTCTGCCACGCTTAATTGGGTGTAAAGTGCTTTAAATTACAACCTCTCATGTGTTTTTCTCTCCACAAAACAATCTGTAGTTGATTCTAACTGCACAGATTCTTTAATTTCTGTTATTCTCTTTGATTCACCATGCTATAGACCACAGTAAGAACGTGTTTGAATCTTTTAAATATCAATAGTGTTTCTTCACCAATTGACATTCTAGCAAAATTATCTCGTATTTGAGTAGAATGCTTGATTACTTGGTGATTCCAATTGTTTCCTCATTCCCAAATGTAATACTGAATATTAACAGGGGAGGTGATGGCCTAGTGATATTATCACTGCACTGTTAATCTACAGACGCAGGTAATGTGCTGTAGACCCAGGTTTGAATCCCACCACGGCAGATGGTGGAATTTGAATTCAATAAATGTCTGGAATTAAGAGTCTAATGATGACTATGAATTCATTACCGATTGTTGGAAAGACCCATCTGGTTTACTAATGTCCTTTAGGGAAGGAACTTGCCGTCTTTACCTGGTCTGGCCTATATGTGACTCCAGACCCACAACAATGTGGTTGACTCTGAACTGCCCTCTGGGATGAGTAATAAGTGCAGGCCTGGCCAGCAATACCCTCATTCTGTGAATGAATGAAGAAAAAAAAGGAAATGTAGAGTCATACAGCATGGAAACGGACCCTTCAGTCCAACCAGTCCATGCCGAACATAATCCCAAACTAAACTAGTCCCACTTGCCTGGTCCTGGCCCATATCGCTCCAAACCTTTCCTATTCGTATATCCATCCAAATTTTTTTATACCCTCATCCACCACTTCATCAGGAAGTTCATTCCACATGAGAACTGCTCTCTGTTTTAAAAAAAAATTGCCTCTGATGTCTTTTTTAAATCTCTCTCCTCTCACCTTTAAAAATGTGTCCCCTAGTCTTGAAATTCCCCATGTTAGGGAAAAGACAACTTCCGTCAACCCTATTTATACCTCTCATTATTTTATAAACTTCTATCAGGTCACCTCTCAACCTCCTAAGCTCCAGGGGAAAAAGTCCCAGCCTATCCAGCCTTTCTTTATGACTCAAAGCTTCCATACCTGACAACATCCTGGTAAATCTCTTCTGAACCCTCTCCAGCTCAATCATATTCTCCCTATAACTGGCGACCAGAACATGGACACAGTATTCCAAATGAGGCCTCACCAATGTCCTGTACAACGTCAACATGACTTCCCAACTCCTATACTCAAAGAACTGAGCAATGAAGGCAAGTGTGCCAAACACCTTTTTAACCATCCTGTCTAATAGCAGGCAAGTGGGACTAATTTAGTTTGGGATTATGTTCGGCATGGACTGGTTGGACAGAAGGGTTTGTTTCCATGCTGTAGGACTCTGACTCTGTAACAGCTGATTATTTAAGGCTGAGATATGGATAAATTTCTTCCCCAAGGACTTGTGAACATTTGAAATTCTGTACCCCTGAAAGTCATAGATCCTCCATTGCAAATTATATTTAAAGCTGAGATGGCCAAAATTTTGGAGGGCTAAATGG